CTTTGCTTCTCATGCTGCTTCTGTATGTGAAGCAGAGATTTGCTTATTTCTGTGTTTTATATAGGTCATCAGTGGGTGTATGAATAGTAAAACAATGGTGAAGTTAAACGGCATTTTAAAGAAACATGAATACCAGACTCACGGGTAGACTTTCTTTTCATTGCCTTAATGAAGTATTTGTAACTTAATTCTTTTTTGTAATAACTGATCACCAAAGCATACTAATGTCTTTTTTTTTACTTATTTTCATCTTGTTTATGAGAAATATACATTTTGTTTATAGCCAAGGAAAAAAGTGAGGGGAAGAGATTAAGAAACTTAACCGAAGATACAGTTAAAAGTAAATCTAAGACAGATCTTGAGTCCTGAATATATTTAAGGTCGTTGGCCATTGCCTCGATATTTTAATACATTTACTATATATAAATACCATATTTTAAAAGTCACTGCCATAAATTTAAGTAGCTTGGCATTTATGGCCACATTTTAAAAATATATTTTATTGATTATGCTATTACAGTTGTCCCATTTTTCCCCCTTTATTCGACTCTACCCTGCACACCCCCTCCCACCCACATTCTCCCCCCGCCCTTTAGTTCATGTCCATGGGTCAAACATATAAGTTCTTTGGCTTCTACATTTCCCATACTTTCTTGCCCTCCCCCTGTCTATTTTCTACCTACCATCTATGCTACTTATTCTCTGTACCTTTTCTCCCTCTCTCCTCCCACTCCCCTGTTGCTAACCCTCCATGTGATCTCCATTTCTGTGGTTCTGTTCCTGTTCTAGTTGTTTGCTTAGTTTGCTTTTTGTTTTTGTTTTAGGTGTGGTTGTTAATAATTGTGAGTTTGCTGTCATTTTACTGTTCATATTTTTTACCTTCTTTTTCTTAGGTAAATCTCTTTAACATTTCATGTAATAAGGGCTTGGTGATGATGAACTCCTTCAACTTGACCTTATCTGAGAAGCACTTTATCTGCCCTTCCATTCTGAATGAAAGCTTTGCTGGATAGAGTAATCTGGGATGTAGGTCCTTGCCTTTCATGATTTGGAATGCTTCCTTCCAGCCCCTTCTTGCCTGCAAGGTTTCTTTTAGAAATCAGCTGACAGTCTGATGAGAACTCCTTTGTAGGTAACTGTCTCCTTTTCTCTGCTGCTTCTAAGATTCTCTCCTTATTTTTAATCTTGGGTAATGTAATTATGATGTGTGCCTTGGTTTGTTTCTCCTTGGGTCCAACTTCTCTGGGACTCTCTGAGCTTCCTGGACTTCCTGGAAGTCTATTTCCTTTGCCAGACTGGGGAAGTTCTCCTTTATTATTTGTTCAAATGTTTTCAATTTTTTGCTCTTCCTGTTCTCCTTTTGGTACCCCTATAATTCGGATGTTGGAATGTTTAAAGATGTCCTGGAGGTTCCTAAGCCTCTCCTCATTTTTTTGAATTCTTGTTTCTTCATTCTTTTCTGGCTGAATGTTTTTTCTTCCTTCTGGTCCACACTGTTGATGTTTGAGTCCCAGTTTCCTTCCCATCCCAGTTTCCATCCCATCACTATTGGTTCCCTGTGCATTTTCTTTTATTTCACTTAGCATAGCCTTCATTTTTTCATCTAATTTGCGACCAAATTCAACCAATTCTGTGAGCATCCTGATTACCAGTGTTTTGAACTGTGCATCTGATAGCTATGTTGGCTATGTCTTTGTTGCTTAGTTGTATTTTTTCTGGAGCTTTGATCTGTTCTTTCATTTGGGCTATTTTTTTTTTGGTCTTAGCGTGCCTGCTATGTAGTGAGGGGCGGAGCCTTAGGTGTTCACTAGAGTGGGACAACCCAGGTCACTGCATTGTGACGCTGTATGTGGGGAAGGAGCCTGGGAGGGAACAATGGCACTTGCTCTGCTCTCTGCTGGATTTCAGTCACTCCCCCACTACCCACAAGCAAATTGGGCCCTTCTGGTGCTGATTCCCGGGCGGGTGGGCTTGTGTACATTATAGGACCCTGTGGGTCTCTCCAACAAACTCTCCTGTGAGGCTGGGAGTTTCTCCCGCTGCTGCCTCAACCACCACTGGTGTTTTCAATCAGTGGTTTCAGGCTTTGTTTCCCCAAGCTGGAACCCCAGATTTCGAGGTCTGTCTCGCTCCCCAGTTGTTTCTCCGGGTTTATCCGAATGTGAATGTGGGACTGCAGGCTCCACCAGCTGCTACCTTGCCAGGTCTGCCTGCTGCTGCCTTGACGGCCACCTGCAGCCTTGCCCGCCCCGGCCCTCCACCGCCACTTTGCCGCCAGTCTTCTCCTCCTGGCCGCCCGACTCCGCCCCTCCCACTGGTCTGGATGAATGTGTCGTCTTTAACTCCTTGGTTGTCGGACTTCCATCCAGTTCAATTTTCTGTCAGTTCTGGTTGTTTTTTATTTTTAAATTGTTGTTGTCCGTCTTTTGGTTGTGCAAGGAGGCACAGTGTGTCTACCTACACCTCCATCTTGGCCAGAAGTTATGGCCACATTTGTTATTGACAAGTTCAGAAGGGCTCAGAGTTGGAACTGTGGTGGGGTGGTGTCGAGGGCGGGGAAGGAGGTTGTCCAGGTAGGTGCCGGGGTGCGGGGGGTGGTGACCTGAGTCCGGAGGAGACTTGCAGTGGGTGGGGAGGGCAGGGGAGGCTGGCGGCGGAGCCTAGCCCACGAGGAGGTGCAGGTGCGGCAGACCTGAGACAGGAAGCGCTGGGCAGCCCCTGGGTTACCAGGCGGAACCCTGGAATCCGTCTGGTAGCAGAGACTGGGGAAACACACCCTCCACGCCTCTTAATCTCTCCCGACTCCTGTCCCTGCACCTTCTTCCATATCAGCCTCCTTGTGTCCAAGTCTGACACCGTGGTTTCAGAAACAGACGCCGTATTTTAATTGGATTATTTCCAGTTAGAAAATGGACAGAGGACCGGAACAGACACTTTTCCCAAGAAGACATAGAGATGGCCAACATGAAAAGATGCTCATCTTCACCAGCTCTAAGGGAAATGCAAATCAAAACCACTGTGAGATGCCACCTCACACCTATTAGAACAGCTGTTGTCAGTAAGACAAGTCATCACAGGTGTCGGAGAGGATGTGGAGAAAGGGGAGCCCTCGCACCCTGCTGGTGGGAGCACAGCCCCTGTGGGAAACTGTGTGAAGGGTTCTCAAGAAATTGAGTAGAACTACCAGATGACCCAGCAGTCCTTCTAGGTATCTAGCCAGACAGTTTGAAAACACTGACTTGTAAAGATACACGTATCCCTGTTATTATTCACAGTAGCCGAGGCATAGAAACAAGCCAGGTGCCCTTTGGGAGATGATTGGATAAAGAAGATGTAGTCCATGTACATAAAGGAATAATCCTCAACTGTAAGAACAAGAGACACTGCCATTTGTGGCAGCATGGATGGACTGTGAAAATATCACTCTAAATGAAATAAGTCAGACAGAAAAGGACTAGAACCATATGATTTCACTCATGTGGGATATAAAATAGAAAGCAGCAAACGAACAAACCAACCAGCCTAGACACAGACAGCAGTGTGGTGGTTCCCAGAGGGGAAGGGGGCAGGGGAAGATGAAGAGAGTAAAGGAGGTCCCGTATGTGGAGACAGCAGGAGACGAGACTCTGGGCGGTGAGCACACAATGCAGTGTGCGTGCAGGCGACGCACTGTAGAACTGCACACCTGAAACTTAAATAATTATTAACCAGTAATACCCCAATAAATTTAATTTTAAAAAGAAAACATCAAAAAAAAAGGTAAAGAAGAAAAGAAAACGGATACCAACTGACGTTTGCTTGAGCAGAAAAATAGTATGTTGGAAGGGTACTGGATAAAACAGAGTGGACAGGCTGCGGGTGCGTGGGCCAGGCAGCCGGTGGAAGCCAGCTGTGCTGCAGAAAGACGCGTGTTCGGCGGCCACCTCTGCCAGCCCTGCTGCAGTTTGGGAGGTGGACCCCTTGGGCTGGTCCTCTGCTCTGACTTTTTTTCCCCAAGGTCTTTCTCTTTGTCCTTTAGTTCTCCTTTCTGGGAGATTTCCCCTTTCTCTCAACCAATCCTGTTTATAAGATTTCAAAATTCTACCATCATATTTTTATTGTTCAATAACTAGGAAGTCCTTACAATGTTCCTCTTTTTGTTTTAAAGATACAATTTCTTACTAAGTTTTTTTCTCTGTGCATCACGTATGCTCTGAATTTTCCCCCCTCCCCCATTTCTTTTTGGGGCTCACTCCTTCATGAGAACTGTTTTGGGCTTTCTTCACAACACCCGACTGTTGGCTGTTTGTTTATATTAAGAAAGAAGTGGGCCAGGCACTTGGCGCCGTGGTAGGATGTCCTCTGACGGTCCTCGTCTGGGGGAATGTGGCAGTGAGTCTGACTTCCTTGTTGGGGTTCCCCCCACCCCATCCTAGTATCTTTAGGCCTTTTCTCTCAGGCTGGATGAGTGCTTCAGGGAGACCGTGTCTACCACCCACTGCCAATGAGCCACGTGGGAGGTGGGGACTGGGGGTCTCTTTATTCAGCAGGTGGCCCTCCCTCCCGTGCACCATGTCCCTTCACATGGCATGCTCCTTCCCTCCAGCACTTCTTACCTCTGGGTCTCGTTCTGCCCCCCTTTTCTGGAACCCCTTGGCTGTGGCTAGTAAAACGAATGCTGACTGTTGAGAGGCAGGTTAGTCGGATTTGGTGTGGGTTATCCTTAGAGTCTTTCTCAGCTTCAGGCTTCGTGCCCAGCACTGTGGCACAACAGCAGGAGAGTAGAAGGGACAGACTTGCAGTACTTAATCTTCAAGGCTGTCAGTCCGTTTTCTCGGTAACGAAGACTTAGGGGAGTCGTGATTCACAGTCAGGGATAGTTCTCAGTAACAGGACTTTATATGTGTAAAATGTTACGTTGGTTATATACACTCCAAGAATTAGTCATACCCTAAGAAGTAGTATACACTCTTCTGTCATAACATAAGTAACTTTTCTAATCAAATGTTATTATCTTTCAGATCCTATCACATAGGACAGTATGTACCTTCAGATCCTGAAGAAAAGGCGCAAAATGTTCAAGTAATGTTTCAGAATAATTTGTGAGGTAAGAATGCGGTTCTTTATTTAGGTGTATAGTCACTGTTTCCTTGCCGATGGCTGGCACTGGTGGCACACTACTGAGAGGCAGTGTGGGTCGTACAAAGGTGAATGGCAATAAGGAAATACTTCTCTCCGCCTGTTGCCATGGTTTGCTTATTGCCACGTGTCCCAGAAGGAGACTGTATCTTAGGGGTGGGGGTGGGGGGCGTCCAGGAAGTGAACCGATAAGTTAGTAGCAATTATTACAAGACGAGGTGAGCATAAATGTACTGGAAAGCTTTTGCTTGTGTGGTTGTCCCTTTAAAGGGTGGAGATCTGCAGCCTGGGAAAGTGGGCTTTGTTTAGCCGAGGACAAGCAGCTCAGGTTCAGGAGCGGACAAAACCCAGTTAAGTCGGCCATAAAAGGAGGAAAGCGATGATGCAACATCTGTTTGACCCTCGGCCAATGCTTAGTGCTTTCAGGTTTCTCCCCAAAACGATCTTTGAGAGTGTTAAATCAGTAGCGATCTGGCATTTAGTGTAGCATAAGAGTGCAGCCTTGTGTAACGAGTGTACATTTTTGTTCTGCATCTCAAATCGCTGTACCACTGCTCTCATGATCCCAGTACTTTAGATTAGTTCAGTGTTAAGGAATTGTTTCTTCATTTCCTCCCCTCCCTTCCTGTTTCACTCATGAAGTGTAAATACAGTGACTCAGCGGAGTGCTCGTGCTGTTTATGACAGACAACTGAGTGCATCCAGCCCCCCCCCCCGCCCCCCGCCCAGTCCATCGATGACTTTCTTGAAAATAAAGTCACTTCTGGGTGTCAGACTGTTTTTCCCTTTGCCTTCTAGTGGGTTTAACGAACCTGGCTCTGAAGCACATAAGCGTTATGCAGCAGCTCTCTAGTACACACTTCTAGGAATGCCCTACCGTGCCAGCGTTCGGTGACTTCGAGGTACCCTTCCTGCCGCCTGCACCCCCGGCCAGGCGGAACGCCACAGGCCTGCGCCCTGTGAGTCTGGCACTTCTCACCAGTGCCTCAACCAGAAGGCGGGGCTGAGCTGGCGCAGCTGTTCAGCATGTGTGCCTTTAGAAGCCACTCAGGCTGCACGGATGACGACAAGAGGCCCGTCAGCCAGCCTCTGGGCGTGTGGCCACGCAGCGAATTGTCTTACTGCGCGGCAAGCCAGCTACCTTTCTCATGGAAAGCCTTCTAGTTGAGGTGTCACCATAAATCAAAGGGATTCTGGTCGGGGGAATTTTTCAGCTTAAAGTCTTGAGGTACAGCTTTGATTCCCTGAGAAACTTTTATGGAAATCACTAGGAGACGATTCGTCTGAGAGAGGTCCCACCTCCCAGTTGTTGCATCTGCCCGTAAGCGGACATGCATGTGCTGACAGCCCGCAGGCTCCGAAAGGCGGCGCAGGGCGAGGGGCCCGGGCCCTCCGTGTGGGGGCTGGCAGTCTGGGGGAGACACAGAGGCCCCCGAGGTAGAAAGTGGTGAATACGCTGCAGGTGGAACTGACAATCCGGCCCTGAGCGTTCAAGGGAGGTATAGAAGCTTCCGGATACTGTGTTGGCCCTCTGACAAAATCAGGCCTTACAGTGGTACAGGCGTGTCCGATATTCAGGGGCCCTTTCCAGAGTGCTCCTCAGAGGAAGGGGAACCACCTCTGGGATCAGGTGCTTGGAGGAGAGAAACGCTGGGCCCTCCTGGGGGAGGGGGATGGACTCAGTAGAAGCGCCTGCAGGGGAGGCGGGTTGGGGTGACGCAGGGTTTGGGAAGCGCCAGCTGAGAGAGTGACTGGCTAAGGTCTGCCCAACTCGTATCTTTAGTTTTTTTCTCTTTCACTTAAAACCTTTTAAGCTGTTTCTGTCTGATTTAAGAGCAGGGTTATTTTGCTAACCCTGGGAACAATTTTATCTTTCTCTTGTACCTCTCAATATTTTTATATTGAGTGAGGATTTTGCAAAATATTTGCAGAATGATTCTCATCTGCAAGTTTATTCATTCACTAAATGTTTTCATAGTTACTGTGCCCCAGTCGCATTTAAGGTAGAAAACAAACAAAGCAACCAGAACGCCCATGTTGGACAAGCTGCTAGTTATCACTTGTAGCAGACCTGACCCTGCGAGCACTCATTCCCGGCGCTCCTGCTCCTTCCGCTGGGCAGGGCCGAGTGCGCCTGCACCGAGGAAGCACTTGGGGCATTTGATAAAAGGGTGCCAGTGTTTTTTTTTTTCTGTCCCTTGTGTGAACACTGAGGCCAGCTGAAGTCTGCCTCTATATTTCCTTTGTCTTTACTTATCCAAGTATCACTTCTATCTAGTGCTGATAAGAGAAGGTCACACATTTAAAGAAGCAGCAAAGCAAGGTTTTAGGAAATGTGCCCTTTCCTCTTCTGTTTCGTTGGACCCTGTGTGTTCTCAGGTGTCAGGTATCAGGGACTGTAGGAAATACAGGAAAGGTGTCAAAGGATAGGTTAAGTGAAGGAAACTTTAAAAGATTAAAATAGAGAGTAAGGGCATTCTAGAAACAGTATACAGTTGAAGGAGACAGAAATAAAAATGGGAGCCTACCTTCAAAACATGATTGAGTGCTGTTAGAGTTAAAACATGGGAGAGATGAAAGTAAACTGAGAATCACATGGAGGAAGCCCAGGCAGGCCCTGAAAGCTCAGCGCTGAGTGGGCCAGTGGAGACTGTCCTTTATTCGTCACCATCCTGTCCCACGGGCGGCCCTGTCTGCGGGAGCATACGTCTGGTTGTGCGCCGCAGCACACACAGGTCAGGCTGCGCAGGGCTGTGGGTGTGGGCGGTGGGTGGCAGCCCCGGCTTGGGAACTTGGGTGCTGTCGTCGTGCACCTGGCTTGTTCTTTCCCTGTCTCTGTCACTGTGGCTGCAGCTGGCCCTGCGTGGGTTCCCCGGAGCCTCATCAGCCGTGCCCAACCCCCTCTAGGGTGCATCGGGAAACCATGCCGTCATCAGGACACCGGCTCCGTGATATTGAGCACCATCCTCTCCTGACTGAGAACGACAGTTACGACTCCTCGTCCTCCTCTTCCTCCGAGGCTGACGTGGCAGACAGGGTCTGGTTCATCCACGACGGCTGCGGCATGATCTGCGCAGTGCTGACGTGGCTCCTGGTCGTCTACGCAGACTTCGTGGTGACGTTTGTCATGCTGCTGCCTTCCAAAGACTTCTGGTACTCCGTGGTCAACGGGGTCATCTTTAACTGCCTGGCGGTGCTGGCCCTGTCATCGCACCTGCGGACCATGCTCACCGACCCCGTGAGTCCTCCCTGTCGAGTGGGACTTCCCTCTGGGTCTGGCCTCGTGTGACACCACCGCCCACGTGGCAGAGGGCCTCTTGCTCCCGTCACCTCAGGTGGTTACGGGCTTCTTGGATACAGGCTTGTAGCCTTTCTCACTGGAGAATAGGCATCACTTAAGTAGAAATGATATCACCGAATGTTAATGAACAGTAGTCCCATTGGGCTGTTCATTCAAATGAAGAGATTGTACTGAATGATTTCTAAAATCCCTCCTAGTTTAAATATTTTCTTTCTCTGAGGAATGGACTGGAAGCTGGGAGATCGGAGATCTGGATTTTACCACCGCACTAATTTTTTTTTCCCAGTCCTTACCAGAGGCTGTGTTTATTGATTTTAGAAGGAGAACGAGAGAGAGAGAGACACCGATCTGTGGCCTCTCGTACGCGCCCCGCCTGGGCATCGAACCCGCAACTTTTTGGGTGTATGGGACGATGCTCCAACACCCAGGCCACCCAGCAGGCCTGACCTTTACAATAGCTTCTTGTCCATAGGCAGCTCATGTAACTTCTTAGGGCTAAAGGTCAGTTTTTATCTCCAAGTTCTTTCTAGCTTTGTAATTCCCTTGTTTTTAAGTCTCAGTTAATATCTGAAGCAAACATCTTGTTCTGCCTGGTCAGAAAAAGGTCAGGGTTCGGCCCGTGTGTGAAGCGGAGAGGAAGAGCTCACTAGTTACTGATGCTATCAGGGGTGGGTTGTGAGGAAGGGATTGCTAAATAGAGATCAGGTTCAACACACAGGGAGAGAGCTGGCGCAGGGGTGTGAGAGCAAGGGCGGCGGGTTGGCCTTGTCTTTGGAGCAGTGGCCCTGAGAATAAAGGTGGGCCGGGTCTCACACAGTGGATGGTCCCTCCTGGGGCCTTGGAGGGCCCTGGCGTCAGATCTCCGTGCTGGGTGTAAGGCTGCTTCTCTGAGATTTTGAGACGTCCTCTGTTCAGGCAGAGCGGGACAGGTCCTCGCAGCTCAGCCAGAAGTCACCTCCAGATAGTAGATTCCAGGCTCACCCCTGAGCCCCAAGGAGGTGCTTCATGGGAGGGCAGCCCGCAGGCCCAGTGCGAGAGGTTCCCCCTCAGCGGAGCTCACCTGCAGGTACTAGCAGCCAGTGGGAGGTTTAGTTTGAAACAGGCTCTTCCCCAGCACTGAGAGTGGTTTTAAACCACTGGTACAGGGACTGCCAATTTGTACATCAAAGTCCAGGCTCATGTCTGTTGGTTAGCTTTCTCTAAAAAGGTACCAAAACGTTAATGTTTTGTTATAAAACTTTTTTATGAATAAGATTAGGCCTTTGAGAATAAACTGATACTGATCAGTCCACAGAACGTGATTGACATGTTGACTTATGTGACTGTCACTGTATCTAAGTTCACATCACTGGGTGTTACCCCGCATTACTTACCCTGTTGCCTGTTTGCCTGGTGGAGGCCTTAGGCCTAGGACAGTACTACAGACCCTGCCAGTGGCAGCTGGGAGCAGCACTTGGGGGACAAGTCTGCCCGTGTTTTGTAGCCTCACCGGATAGTGGGAGTTTTGACCATAACCGAATCGGATGTCCCTCAGAGGCTTTTCAAGGACCCTCTTCTCCTTTCCTGTGGATAGCAGAGCCCCCCCTGGGAACCAGACCCACTCGTGACCCTGTGCACCCCCGCCCCCTCCTCACTGCAGCACAGGCACCGCCCATCAGCTCCTGCCCTTCCATCTCCTCGGGCTTCTGTGTCACCGCTCCGCTGGCCTGCTGGTCCCGGGGCTCAGTGGGCTCATTCTCCAGAGTGTGCATTTCTGCAGGAAGCACAGGCTCCCAGGGCGAACAAAGGGGATACAGACCTTGTTCCCTAGCTTGAGACATTTAGAACGCCCTCCCTACCCCGCATCCACTCTAGTTGGGTCACTTATCTTAGTCCAGCCTGCCACGGTGCCCAGAATCATCTTCCAATGCGTTCTCCAGGGCATCTCTCTACCGCCCAAAGATAAGGCCCTCCGCCCTGCGGCCTGCTCAGGCCTCGCTGCCCCTGTCTGGCCTCCCACCTGCAAGGTCCTGTGACGATGGCTCCTGGCCCTTGTGCCAGGCGGCCTCTTGCCATCAGTTCCCACTTCCCTGACGCTCTTCCCGTTGCTCCCCCGTGGCTCCTCTTTCTCCAGCCCCTGGCACTTGGGGCAGGAGCAGCGTGCTGTTACCACCCCTGACCCCAGAGCCAGAGGCTGAGTTGGGTCGGTCACTCGGGGCCACACTTCCCAGGTTTGAGTGTGAGTGCTCTTGGTCAGGTTGGCAGACACAGGTGCGTTACACAGAGAAGATGAGATGGAGTCCTCTGTGAGACTGTTTTGTTCAGGGCTCCCCCGTGGCCACTGGTAGGGAACTGTGTGGGCAGCGCTGTTGGGCCGACCCTGCCCACTGGAACGGGGGGTGGATAGGGAAGTGGTGGCAGTCAGCTGCCCTTGAGTCGGGGCGGCTGCACAAACAGACCTTGCCGCTGGTGTGACTTACACTAGCTAGGAAAACTCACATGACTTACCACTTTGTGAAGGACAATTAGGCCTTTATTCTGAGTTCATTTTAATGCATGTTATTTTTCATGCAGAATAGAACTTCTAGTCCTGCCTGAGTAATAGTTGTTTTTCATAATATGCTTCCAGTGGCAACTACGGCATTACTGATTATGTTATGATATATAAAATCTAAGACTAATTCCTACATTGTTTAGTAACCTTTCCTTCTGCCTAACTAAACATTGTTATTAAACTGTAGGGAGCAGTACCGAAAGGAAATGCCACTAAAGAATACATGGAGAGTTTGCAGCTGAAGCCAGGAGAAGTGATCTACAAGTGCCCGAAGTGCTGCTGTATCAAGCCTGAGCGTGCCCACCACTGCAGGTACCGCAGCCCCTTCCCCAGGGCGACCTGGGTGCCCACCGCTGCAGACACCTCGGAGCTGGAGGTCCCCCTCAGTGGCTTCTGACCAGCATTACAACTTTGTGTATTGGGCACGTGGCCTGGGGTTGTGTTCCCTCTGAGCAGGGAATACTAACAGTCAAACCTCTCCTTTGTAGTATTTGCAAACGATGTATTCGGAAAATGGATCACCACTGCCCGTGGGTGAACAATTGTGTGGGAGAAAAGAACCAGAGATTCTTTGTGCTTTTCACTGTGAGTAGAAATATTTAGGTAGTGACTTATATTGAGTTTTAAATTCTTTAATGAGAATCTTGCCTGGAGATAGTAAATTTATTCTAACATCAGACCAGTTTCTCTCCAACCTTTGCTCTAGATTCCAGTTGTAATACTGCGCTGCGATTGGTAGGGAGTAGGCCAAAAGATCAATGTTTGCTGCCTGCATTGTTGTCGTATTTTGCTGTCGTGCATTCTCTCAGACATGCAGTTCTTAGTAGGGTCTTGCTGAAGTTAAAACGTAACTCCCTACTGTGTGTTTTTCTATAAACTCATTTTCCTTAGTCCAGCATGATCTCAGGCAGGCACATGTGAATCACTGCAGTTGATTCCCTCCCTCGTTAATTTTACCGACAAATGAAATGGAGGGGTCAGCATGCGATGAGGCGCCCTTCGCTCCTGGAAATACCTGATCGCTCCCCAGCAGTAACCAGTTTCTCCCCTTTGCAGATGTACATAGCTCTGTCTTCAGTCCACGCTCTGATTCTCTGTGGACTGCAGTTCGTCTCCTGCGTCCGAGGGCAGTGGACAGGTAAGCTCGGGGGTGCTGTTCCTGGAAGCCAAGTGGCTGGGTGAGGAGGGGAAAGCTTTCAAGGAAAATTGATTGTCCAGTTTTGAAAGAAATCCTTGCAGTTATTTTAGGAGTTGATTTTTTTCTAAGAACATGGGTAAGTTTTAAAGAACAGGCAGCATAAGCATGGTACAGTGGGCAAGAATATGGGTAGGTTTAACACTGCCTTTTTTCCTAGTATAGTGAAGCTCTATATATACATATGTGTGTGTGTATAACTGTTCTTCCATAGTCAGTGAATAGTAATAATTTCCACTAGATAGTCTCATTTGTATTTTGCAGATCTGAGACTTAGAGGGAGGTCAGTATTGTCCCTGGTGTTTTTTTCTGGTTAGCTGGCTAGGCGTTGTTCAGAGCACTCTGCACATGCCTGAGTGTGAGTGTAGTGAAGGTGGGCGTCGGGGGTCCAGCCTGGAAGCGCAGGCAGGCCAGCATCGTCCTGCCCCGGGGTGGGTGAGGAACGGCCCTGTGTTCCCCCGTGTGTGGGTACACGTGCCCCTCCTCTCCAGCTTTGGTTCCATTTTAATAAGCACTTTAATACACAGAGACAGTCTAAACAGAAACCTCGGGTAACGTGGAACCCTTGGAAACTGCTGGCTGGGAAACGGTGGTGTGAATTTGTGCTCGGAAGGGCCGACCTCCTCCGCCCACCCTTGGTGAACAATGAATGTGCCTCTTTACAAAACGAGCATGTTCTCCCTGGAAGCCCGCCCGGGGCGGCCACTGTGAGGGCCTGTGAGCTGAGCGCGGCACCCGCAGTGCGGGTGCTGGTTGCGCTGTGACACCCAGTCACAACCCACTTTCTCTTTCTTGTTCACAGAGTGCAGCGATTTTTCGCCTCCAATCACTGTAATCCTGTTGATCTTCCTGTGCCTTGAGGGTCTCCTGTTTTTCACTTTCACTGCAGTTATGTTTGGCACCCAGATCCACTCAATATGCAATGATGAAACGGTATGCTTCGTTCTCGGCTGTGTTTGCCTTGTGTTTGGTGGAAGCTTGAGTAAGTGGGAAAGCCTAGTGTCAACAGCAGGTGTGTGCGTATTAACTCGGGAAATTAGCTGGGCGGCGTGATAAGCTCTGACAGGCTCGTTGTATTTGCTCTTCCTGTCAGCTCGCTGTATTTGCTCTTCCTGTCAGTGCGAACAGTGCGTGTTTCAGGGTCAGTGTGGTTTGGGAGTCAGCAGAGCCAGGCAGATTTCCAGTTTCTAGGAGACCCAGCCCCTATATCAGCGGAGCGAGTTCCAGGAATTGATTGCCTTCACGCCTTTGAACTGTAGGCCTAGTGCAGACACTTGATAAATATTTGTGGTAAATGAATTAAAGGCCGCCCCTGGCCTGGAGCTCCGGCTTTCTCTGCCTCTCTGTGGCCGCCTGGGCTCTCCTAGCTGATGGCCAGGGCCCAGCCGTTTGATGTCAGTCTGGCCAGGTGGCTGCTGCCTGGCTGTGCTCAGGGCGGCCGTGGGGGCTGGTGCCCGGAAGGAGAGCCCACGCTGCGCCTGAACGCCCTGTCCTCAAACACAGCGGGACAGTGGGGTTGGGTGGCCCTTCCCCCGTGTTCACCATTCATCCTCACGTGGCCTTGTCAGGGGGTTTCCTGGTGCTGCCACCCACTCGCCCTTCCTTCTGCTTCCAGGAGATCGAGAGACTGAAGAGTGAGAAGCCGACCTGGGAGCGGAGGCTACGGTGGGAAGGGATGAAGTCGGTCTTTGGGGGGCCCCCCTCCCTCCTCTGGATGAATCCCTTCGTTGGTTTCCGGTTTAGGCGACTACAGACGAGACCCAGAAAAGGAGGCCCAGAGTTCTCCGTTTGAGGCCCCTCCCGGCGTGCTGGAACTTGTCAGTGGACTTGAAATTATTTATTCGGGGTCTGAAAGGAATTGACAGCTCATCTGTGACCGATGACCGGCAGGGCAAATGGAACCTACACAGACCAGCTGCTTGCAGCAAGCAGAGTCTTACGTGCCGTGTTCACAGTCACGATGGCAGGTTCTCCACTCCGGTACCTGGGTGACACTCTCATCAGTTTTCACCTGGACAGCTAACGAAACGGATGTGGCCACATGAAGAAGCCAAATGTCATTATCTGCCTGCACAGGTAGGGTTTTTGTTAAGCAAACTTTGCATTTTCTAAGAAGTTCTGTGATGTTACATAGGTTAATAAGATCCTGTGTACTGAGCTGCTTTTTTCAATCATGAAGAGAAGAAGTCAATCCAGTGAACAAGAACCCCCCGACGGGCGGTTTCAGGGAGCTCCTGTGGACCCTGTGATCAGTAGTGCGCTCCCTGGATTGAGAAGGGGCGCTTACGTGAAGTACGTCTTGGTCTCCTTTAGTTCTGACACTTTGCACTGAATTTGCAAAAGATCTGTGCACCGAGCAGGAGGGCGGCTCCAGACCCACCCACACTGCCTGGGAAGAGGCGTTCTGTGACCCTGCAGCGAGGCTGCGCGTGTGTCTTTGTCTGTGTGTGAGTGTGTGTGCGTGCATGCACGTGTGTTTGAAGTTGACAGTGTCGTTTGGACCACGTAACCTGTTAACAGCTGTGCGGCGAACGAGCTGTTTTTTAGAAACCGACGTTTCAGGGAAGCGGGGAGAGCTGCCCGGGACCCTCCTCCCGTGGGGTTCGCTTTGAATGTATTGCAAACTGGAGAAAATCTTGATCCAAAGAACCATCATTCCTGTGTGGTCCTTCGTTGCCCTCCTGTTTTCATTTTACTTTAAAAATCTTGAGTGCGTGAGGGCCTTGGAACTGACTTTTTTCGTCCAGCCAAATTAGCAGTGTGTCAGCAGCACCAAGAGCTAAGTCCCTGGCGGCCTTCACGTGGTGCCGCTCAGCGGTGCCAGGAGGAGGGGCAGGCACGGCCCAGTGAGACACAGGAGAGGCCGGTGTCGGTCTCTGGGCATCGCCGAGGAGGGGAGAGGACCGCGAGGCTACGTGCCCTGGACTCTGCCTCCCTTGCAAAGAATATTCAGGATGGCAACGGCTTGTTTTTCTTTTCTTTTCTTTTTTTTTTATCATTTTTGTCTCATTTCTCTACCCATGTCACCAGTGATCAAATAGGACCCTTGGTGCAGAGCTTAAAATTATTCCAGAAAGCAAACAGCTCCCCTCCTTGGGGACTCGCCTTAAACTCGCCTGGTCGGTACGTGTTGGCGGGACTCCCGAGGAAGCCACCTGTGACGGTCCCAGGGTCTCCTCTACGCCTGCCCCCACCCACGTGGAGAAGAGTTGGTGTTTCCCTCCCGCTCTTCACACTTCTCTGTTCATCTGTGAGCCATTTTTGTTTCCGTTTTTAGTTAGCCCGTACCCTCTCCTAATCAGGGTTTCTACCACTGCTGATGCAAAGCCACGAAGGGACCTACTCGAGACACACTCACAGCCAAGTGAACAAAGCTGTAGGACACTTTAGAAGTGGACCAAGTCACTGCAGAGACGTGTGAGCTGTCAGGGGCGGGCTGTACCCCGGCCAGAGGGCGACGCAGACACACACCGCGGTGACGCAGGAGGCGAGTCTGCGGAGGTGGGTCTGCGTGTTCATTTGCACATCTGTTGTCTGGTCGGACATGTGGACTGGGCTTCAGTGTGAGCCTCTTAATAGGTATATCCTGTTCATCAGTTAGAAAAATTATCCAAGTGGTTGAATCCTGTGAGACTTGGCAAGTATGTGCAAATCAAGTATACTTGACTTTTCAGCCTCCTCTTTCAATGTAACTTTTATATAAAATAAAGTCACCCATTGATGGTTCTCAGTTCTTGGTGGGTTGTCCATGGGTTTCAGCCGCTGGCCTCTCCGTGGTGGACTGGCACCAATGCCGCACGTGACTGTCACACGCTGGTGTGTGACTGCCCACAGCCGGTGCCTGTGGCAAGTGACAGGCATTCCGACACTGCTCACGCGGACTCTGCCCCATCCAAATTTAATATTTCCTCTTAAATCGACACACATCATTTTACCTAGCTTTATCCTAAACGTTCCTGTATTTTTTTAGTGCTCTTTGAAATAAAAATAATTTTTAAAAAATATCTCCAATGTAGAATCTCAGCTTCCTACAATTTTATTCAACAAATTGATCTAATATTTGTGCTTGAGGGACCCAAAGGTGAGTGCCGAGGGTGACCCTCCCTGCCGTGCAGGGAGGATGGGCGGCTCCATGGACACCCAGCTGTGTGTGCCCACAGGGATGCCTCACACTTACTTCCCCGGGCCACTTGCTAGCCTGTCCCACATGCAGAAGCACGGAGGCATGTCCCCGAGCCCGGCCACCGGGCCAGCTGCAACTCCCAAGCCTGTTTGTGGCTCCGCAGAATTTTGCTGTGATGTTATTTGTATTCCTCCTATTAGGATGTTACTTAGGCTCATTATCAAGTGTGACATTTGCATTAAAATGGAAAATTAAAATATTACCCCAAACAGGAAGTTGGCCAGATCTTATCTTCTATTATGTATGACTTAGTTTGGCTGCCTAAGCAGAGAGAAAGGCTGTCCTTGAGGATAGCCTGGGAAAGGTGTAGGAACAGAGGTGCCCGCAGAATCCACACGGGTTCCAAAGTAGCATGTGGGTGCCTCAGCAAAAGGGTAAGCCACCTGCAGTATTGACTGAGGATCAGATGTAAAACCACACTGCTCCTTATCCATCGAACTGCTAATTTGAGCAAAGGCAGCCCAGAGACCCAAAGGGAACATGAACTGACGACAGAGATTTGTGGCTGGTTCGGTTGATAGAAAGCTGAGCCAGTGCATTTGATCTGTAAAGGGAAGGAATGGCTCAATCGTGTGGCCTGATGGAAGACTCCAGAACATTACGGAGGAAGATTCTGTGCACAACACATTTTCAATCCAGAGAATTGTGGATTCCTGAGTTCCCGATACCCCCGGATTCACCACCTGGCTCTCCCCCCACTCCCCACTCACCCACTGTTTTTACATTCACGTTTTGTTCATTATAGTTCATGCTGCGGTGACTGACTACTGTGTGTGTGCTAAGCCAAGCAGGATCCTGTGATGGACCGTTTTTCACTTTCCCCGGAGATAACAGGGCGGTTGCCGCCTGGCCTCCCCAGCCCTCCGCTCCTGCTCCCAGCTGCCCTGGCTTCTCCGGGTGCCCTGCACGGCTGCTGTCCGAGACTCCCGTGTTCGATCCCTGCCTCCCCGGGTTCTGCAGCTCCCAGATTCTTCAACTGGTGCAGTAAGAGTCCGGTAGTTCCTTGACAAGGGGGAATGTTACTCAGGTTTTTCAAGATTTTAGTCTGTCCAAAAATGCCTCATTCTACCCCCAGCTTTGGTTGATGGTTTAGCCAGACCGTGCATTCTCGGGTCAATTCTCACTCGAGCGTTGGAGGCGCTACTGCATCATTTTCCCCGCCCTCTGCGGCCATCGTGAGGGTCCAAGTCCCTCTGGTTCCTGTTTTATGTGACCTGACTTTTAAAAAAAACACCTCAGGAAGCCTTTCACATCATCTTTTTAGTCCTAATTCCTCACACTTAGCAGCGATCTGCCTTGGTGCCCTGTGTAGTGGGTGGCGGCCCCTCTCCATCTGAGACACGTGCTTTTCTCTGTGGCAGATGCACTGTGTGTCACCTTTGGGGACTTCCCCCTCCCGGTCTCACTCTTCGCTCCTACAGATCAAAGCTGCAGTGCGTAGACTGACCCTCCGTTGCCTCTCTTGCTGTCCGCGTTTCCTGGGACAGAGCCTTAACTGGGTCTTCCCACTCTTCTACTGGGCATTTTATTCAGGTGCACGACTTTAATTCCAAGAGCTTTGTATTGTTCCTTTGTCCTTTTCTAAAAATACTTCATTGTTTTCAGAGCGGTTTTAGGTTCATGGCAACATTAGGTGAAGGTACAGAGATCCCCCACACACCTGTTGTCCCCACACACGCATGGCCTCCCCCACTATTAAATCCTCACCAGAGGGGTGTGTTGGTTACAGCTGCTGCCCCTGCACTGACACGCTGTCCCCGGAAGTCCCCAGTTTACATTAGGGCTCATTCGTGCTGTCGTACGTTCTGTGGGTTTAGACACATGTTTAATGACATGTCCATCACTATGGTTCAAACACCGTATTCTCACTGCCCTAGAATCCCCCTGAGTTCTGCCTATTCATTCCTCCACCATCGGCCTCCACCAGCAGCCCCTGCTCTCTGCTGTCCGTACAGCTTTGTTTTCCAGAGTGGCACTGAGCTGGAATCAGAGTGCGCAGCCTGCAGAAACTGGCTTCTTGCACTTAGTGATCGGCCCGTAAGCTCCCTCCTTGTCTTTTCATGGCTTCCTAGCGCACCTGTTCTCAGCACTGAAACTGTGCCAGTGTCTGGATGTGCCACAGTGTACTTACCTGTTCCCCTACCGAGGGCATCTTGGTTGCTTCCAAGTTTTGGCAATTAGGAATAAACTTTGTGCAAGCAGATTTTTTGTGTGGACCTAAGTTTTTAACCCCCGTGTGTTCTGCTAGGAGTTTTCCAGCCTCTGATGTCTAAGTCTAATCCATTTTGAGTTGATCTTTTTTATGTGGTGTAAGATAAGGGTCCAGTTTCATGCCTTTCCTGTGGATCTCTAGTTTTCCCAGCACCCTTTATTAAAGAGACTGTCCTTTCCCACTGTGTATTTTTGGCACGCTTGTTGAAGATCAGTTGACTGTATGTGCATGGGTTTATTTCTGGGCTTCCTGTTCTGTTCCATTGGCCTGTATGTTGTCTTTATGCCAATACCATGCTATTTTGATTACTGTAGCTTTGTAACATATTTTGAAATCAGAAGGGTGATGCCTCCAACTTAGTTCTTAATTCTCAAGACTGATTTGGCTGTTTGTGGTCTTTGTGGCTCCATATGAATTTTAGCATTGTTATTTTCTATTTTTGTTAAGAATGCCATTGGGATTTTGTTGGGGATTATATTGATTTGGGTAGTATGGGCATTTTAACAATATTAAATATTGTTAAGATCCATGAACAGGTGATTTCTTTACATTTGTTTGTGTGTTCTTTAATTTCTTTAATCATTTGTAGTTGATTCCTAAGCAGTTTGTTCTTTTGGGTGCTATTGTAAATGGGATTGTTCTCCTTTTCAGACAGTTTGTTGTTAGTGCATAGAAATGCACCCGATTTATTTTTTTGCATGTTCAGTGGGTATTCTGCAACTGTACAGAATTTTAACAGGGTTTTTTTGGCAGAGTCTCTAGAGTTTTCAATATATAAAGCTATGTTGTGGGCAAACAAGGACACTTTTCTTTCTAGCTTTCTAGTTTGTGTGCCTTTTACTACTTTTTCTGCCGAGTTGCTCTGCTCAGGACGTCCAGTCCCGCGTGAGTAGAAGTGGCCAGAGTGTGCGTCCCGACCATGTTTCTGATGCGAGAGGGAAAGCTTCCAGTTTTTCACCGTTGAGCGCCATGTTAGCTGTGGGCTTTTCACACGTGGCCCTTGTTATGTTGAGGTCCTTCTTTCTGTTGTATTTCTCTTTTGTTTTTCAGTTGCAGTTAACATTCACTCTTTTCAGATGGACAGTTTAGTGGTCAGACGCCCACACGACTTACGGAGAGGCCCCCGTGGTATGTCCTGTGCCCCCTGACACCACGGGGGTCATCACAGTGTAATCGACCGTGTTCCCTGTGCCGCACTCCGTGTCCTTGTGACTGCTTTGTGACTGCCCATTTGTACTTACTAGTTCCTTCACCTTTTCCACCCAGGCCCCTGCACCCTCCCACCTGGCAGAAGTACTTCCCTTCTATTTCTGGTTTGTTGAGAGTTTTCATCATTAAAGGCTGTTGAATTTTGTCAAGCACTTTTTCTGCATCTATTGAGATAATCATATGATTTTATCTTTATAATGTGGTACATCACATCAATTCAGTTTCACCTGTTGAACCTCCTTGCATTCCAAGGATAAGTACCACTTCATCATGGCGTATGATTCTTTTAACTCACTGTTGAATTCAGTTGGCTATTGGTTGATAATTTTTGCATCTATGTTCATCAGGGATGTTGGCCTGCAGTTTTCTTTTCTTGTGGTGTTTCCGTCTGGCTTTGGTATCGGTGTAATGCTGGCCTCATCACATTTGGGTGGGTCCCCTCCTCTCCAGTTACTTGGACGAGTTTGAGAAGGATAAGGATTGCCACTAATTCCTCCTTGAATGGTGGGTAGGATTTGTGAGTGAAGCCATTGCCCCAGTGGCGAGTCCTCCCACACAGGCGTGTCCACAGGCCTGCTGCAGGACAGTGAGCCTCTCAGAGCTTCACAGACGAGGGCCACCAAACAGTTGCATGCTCCAGGTCTGAAGGAAACTTGGTCCCTGTACAGTTTCCAAATAACGCAAACATAGCGACTCCAGGTGAGACAACACAATTACAAAAGCCAGCAGTGACATCCATTTCATTCCTTCTGAGGAGTGAAGATCGCTTGTTGCATGCTGTCTCCCTTCTTGTGTCCGTCAGCCCATCGTTCCTAAAATATGGGACCCATTCTGTGGCCGACTCCCTCCTGACCGAGTCGGGCAATCGATGCTTTGCTGGATAGACGTGACTTTCTCTTCAGTGCTGGAGCATCCTGAAGAAACGGGACCGAAGGCCGACTGGAGATGAGGTGGGAATGCGCTCTCACGCTCACTTGGGACCCTGAGGCCCCTCAGATCTCTCCGCACGGCACTCCCACACAAGAAAACCCCAGCAGTGAAGGGCCGTGAGGCCCTGTTCCCAGGAGGGTGCCACACGTCCAAAGGTGTCCTGTCCGTGCACGTCCAACGTGTTGCGAACGCTGAA